AAAAAAAAAAAGAACTTAAGAAATAAATTTTGACTGTTAGAAAATGGCAAGATAAGATTCTACTCCCTCTCATAAAACAAAACAAAACAAAAACAAAAACCCACAACCAAACAAAAACACCAAAACCAAATAGAATATGTGAAGCAATGTTAATAGCTTTGAGAAAACAGGTTTGGAGTTTTTGTTTAGAGGCCAACTTTCCATATATCCAAGGTGAACAGGGTTATTTTTACTTCTTACTGATCCATAGCAAGAGCCTATCTAAGTGAGGGACTTCTATGACTACTCCAGAATGAAAGCACAGTCTATTGCATTTGGAGTCTCTGGGTAGCATAATTAATGTTAACCATTTTTACTGCTTGAAAGGTTGGCAGTTTGAGTCCATCCAAAGGATGTCAGAAGAGAGGACTGGGGACATACTTCCAAAAAAATCAGTCAGTGAGACACTAGAGAGCACAGGTCTACTCTGACACAAGGGCACTGGGTGGACTCAATGACTGCAGTTTTGGTTTTGTTTGGGTGTTTTGCATATACTCTCTGTGGTCCTGTTGTAACTCTGAGTGTTTCACAGTAGATTATGCTGACTGTAACCTACCCCAACTCCACCACTTGACTAGTGGCCAAGAGAAGATTATGGTCACAGCAGAAACTTGGAAGGTGAACCACAGAAGACTGAAGGGCTGTGCAGAATAGTGTCGTGCATTATAAAAAGTTCTGCAAGGTCATGGAGACTGTATATAACAAAGGAGCAAGGAAGGAAATGCTGTAGGGATCCTCTCTGGGAAGCCTACAGCTGCTATATGTTCAACTGGAACTTGTTTGACTCATATGATCATACCAACACCATGATCAGAGTTAATAAACTACAAGAAAAATGTGCGCACAGGTGGGCAAAAGAAGAGGAAAATTTGTTTTGTAAAACAAAAGGAGCTATAAACAATAATGCACATGAGCCAAGCTCTATTTTAAAGGTCATCAATCTTCCACAGCCTGGGTTAGTCCAACATAATGCTTACCTTTTGAAATGTCCGAACACGAACCCACGTGCGCATTCTCTGAATAGGTGATCTTCTAAATATTTAAGCAGAAGCCTAGTCTGTATTATCAAACATTTATTGAATGACTCATGAAGAGTGTTCTGTTCAGGAAGGGGGAAACACATGTATTTAACAAACTGCCTTCAAACAGTTTGCCATCAACTTCGAGATGCAGCTTAAGTGCACTGCACAGCAGAGAGCAAGGTACCAAAGGCTAAATATACACTGATGTATAAAAGAAGCCCTGGTGGTGTAGTAGGTTAAGTGTTGGTCTAACCAAGGGGTACGCTTAGAACTTGCCAGCTGCTCCACAGGAGAAAAATGAGGCCATTTCCTCCTATTAATATTTATAGCCTTGGAAACCTGATGGACGGTTGCCAAGAGTCAGAATCAACTCGAGGGCCATGGGTTTCGGTTTTTTTATATATAAAGAGCTATGCACCAAATGATGGGGAAACTACTGATGCTACAAGAACTACATCAGAAAAAAAGGTAAAGTCTTAGGTCACCTGACTTCAGCTTCATCAGAAAACAAGGGTTGGATAAGATGGTCTCTAAGGTTTCTTGTAGTATTAATATTAAAAAAAAAATCACCAGGAAAGAGCTGGATTGAGAGTACAGGTTATGTTTCCTTACAAATCATATGGCAAGGACACCCCAGGGAGGGGAAATAGTATGAGGAAAGGTCTAGACGTAGCACACTGCTCTTCAGTGGATCAATTCATGTGATTCACTATTTCACTGCATGTGACTTGAACTAATGGATCAGGATCAACAGACTATGCGTTTGTTGTTTGCTTTTTTTTTTTTTCCTAGGAAAACAAGTATCAACAGAGCTCTAGTGGCCTAGTGGTAAGCACACCTGAAGGCAACGGTTTGACTCCAACAGCTGCTAAGTGGAAGAAGGATGGACAATGTCCTTCTGTGCTATTAACTGCTTCTGAAACCCCCTGGAAGGTCAGCTATATGAGTCAGTTCTGACTCAAAGGCACACAACAGCAGCAACTAAAGAATCTGGCTTAAGATGATCTGTTCAAAAACTGAACAAGACTTTGCTCGGCTCATTTAGTTTTAAAAAATGTTTTGTTATTGCTGTTGTTAGGTGTTGACAAGTCTGCTCCAACTCACAGCAGCCCCATCTACTTCCAACAGATCTGAAGCTTGCCTCATGCTGTGCCATCCTCATAGGCTCCTCTGTGCCACGCCTATCAATGCACTATCTGTCTATCTTGTTGAGGGTCATCCCTTCTTTCACCGACTGTCCACCTTTCCAAGCATGATGTTCTTATTCAGGAGTTGCCCCTCCTAACCCTCACTCCCATAAAACATTCAAATCTACCACCCAAATATAATAAAAAGGCACACTATTGCTTTTTTCCCTGAAAGGAAAACAGCAGGCACTAGCACATCTTTGTAAAGCTACCATCAACATTTTCACCTAAAAGGACTACTAGAAGAGAAGGTGAGTTCTAGTGGTTCTTATACCACCATTAGGGGGAAAAAAAGCACAACAAATTATAGTAAGCATTCTTTCAAACTTTGTTAGATAACAGCTTCTCAAAAGAATTGTAAACCTCGGCAAGAAGTCAGAAATTCCAACCCTAAAATGAATTTTCTGACTCAATATTGAAAATAAATTCTTAAGTTTAGATGCTTAGGGGGAAAAACAGCTGGAGAATTCAGGAGCCTCCCAAATTTTAATATGAAGTGACGTCATAATGAACAAGACTTCCAAGAACTCCCTAAATTGTGTGGTTAAGTAACATCCCAAATCACAAGGGGGTATGTTCTGCCCTAGTCTATAGATTCAATTCCTGAATCATTTTTCTATTAAGAGACTGGACTCAATTTCTTCCTTATTAGAAAACAGCCTAAGAACATCAGTATGCCAATGAACATATACATTCTTAAAGCTAAGGCAATCCATTTTCTGTTCTTTATACAAGCTACATGAAAAAAAAGCAACCAAACCAAAAGAAACCCACAAAACCCAGAAACCCAATACAAACAATAAAACTCATTGCCACTGAGTCAGAAGTGAATCAGAGCTGACCCTCCACTGGATTTTCAGAGGTTGTAAATCACACAGGAGGAGCTGTTGGATCTGATCCACTTGCCTTTGGCTTGGGAGATCAACTCCTTACCCACTAGGCTACCAGAGCTCCCACTGTAAACTAGGACCTATTATATAAGAGGGAAGAAAAAGTACTTTCTTCCTATATGTGTTTTATTGCAGACCATATGAGTTTTCTTCAACAATCTGCTTGCATATGAAATTTTAAAATTCTGCAAAATCATCATGCAGAAAACATAATCCAGATAGCTAACCTTCAGAGGATTATGAACATGTAAAATTTTAAAGTCAAGACATCTTGCAACATATCCTGGTCATTAAAAACAATTTCAGTGTCTGTGGTTATAGCTAATCTATGATGGGTATGCATGTTCTATGTCTGATACTGATTAGTTGACAGAAACCAGCTCATTTCCACAGTAGCTTCATCCTTAGGAAAATTAGTGTCCACCTGTAAATTATGCAGGTCTTTTATTTCAAATGGTGAAAAATTCAAATTGTTTGACTCAGAGCTACAAATACATAGATTGTTGCCTGGTTTATTCAATTTTCCTTTTTTATCCACCTACTTACTCATTTTCTGCCCTTCGTGTATATCCAAAGCAGCAAATGAGTTTTTAATTCCATTCTCTATACTGTGCAAACACACACACACACACACACACACACATCTACATAAACACAGTACACATACATGAAACCATTTATATATCCCCCCAAACTGTATTTGATAATCTCCTTGCTTAAGACACAGATAACCGATGATTTATACGTTCATATCTAGAGATGTGAAAATGACTAAAGCTCATGTGTAAAAACAAAGCAAAATACCCTTAGACCACTTTTTCCAGGATCAGAGAAAAGGTTAGATGTTCAATGAGCAATATTTGAGTAAGTACTTTTTAAGCCAGATTAAGTTTTTAAGCAGTTGCTAAAAAATTAATGAGGTTTAATGTGACCTATTTAGGAGAAACAGTTCTCTGTTTTGTTGTATTAGAAGGCTAATCCGCCTATGGAAAAAAACCCGCCAGTATCTCCTTACCCTTTCTTCACTGGATGCTAATCTGCCTATAAAAGTAAAGGGGAAATATTATGAGGAAAAAAAAGCATGATGTGGGTCAGGAGTGCACAATGTTTTGAGGGAGTCCTTCACACCTTCCCCTATTGAACATATGTTCAATTGAAAAACGGGGGATTAGTTGTGACCCCTGAATAATAAAAGGCTTTTGCCTCCATCGTGAGATGCTGCAGCAGTTACGATGAGCAGTAGCTGAGGTGGTTTAAACCCCAGATCATGAGGCCTCACATCCCCACCTGCACACAGTAGTTCTTATGAGAAAAATACCTTCTCAGCTGCAAAATCCTCATGGGTCCACAAAGGACCATGCCTCAGACCCCTGGAGGCTCAGTGGATGCTAAGTGACTTCCAGGGTGGCCTGACCACTCCCAAAGGACCACAAATGCTGATGTCAAAATTTCTGGCACTTTCTAAAATGTGGCTGAACAGTAATTTGGAAGTCTAAACTCTGACTTTAGGAATTCATAAGAACCACCAGTGTTTTACAAACTCTACAGAAAGTAAAATAAACAAGCCCAGGATTTTATGCTCCCTCTTGTTATTTTTATGGCAGGCTGTCAAATAGCTCAAAATGTTCAGTTCTCTGCCCTCTCTAGAAATATTGAATTGGGGAAGAATAAAAAAATAAAGAAAACAACTATTTTATAGTAAGCAGCCGACATTATAATTCATCACGGGGGAGTAGCTAATTAGAAGGAAGCACGGCAGTGAATGAGCCCAGGTGGCTTTCAGGCTGGCACTGCAGTCTCTTTCCTTCCCAAGCTTCTCATTGAGGAGGAACAGCAATAAAAACAAGGATGTTTATATTTACCCAGAAGTGTGCGTGGCAATTGACCATCATGGTTCTCTCAATGAGCTCATCAGGACATTCCAGAAGGTGATGCCCCGAGACCACACCGGCATTATTGACCAGGACCGAGACCTCACCAACTTCTTTCCGGACCCTCTCCGCCGTCAGGTAGACATTCTCCCTCTTCCCCACATCACAAGTGTAGGTAAAAACCTGCAAGTTACAGTGGGGCAGAATCTCTTCCTCACCATTCCCAGCTGTTCTCAGAATGCCGGATTGGGGGGAGACATGGAAAAGAGAAGAGGGGTGCAAATAGTGAGTCACATACAAGCAACAAAGACCATCACATAAAGCAAAAGTACCATGATGGGCTTCAAATTTCGATCACTATAGTGCTTGCCAATGACTGAACTTCAGCTGCTTTCTCTTACAGTCTTTGGGAATTATAGCAATTTATTGGATAGCTTTGCTGAGGGCAAAGTTGTGTAACTGTGACAAGCCCAATATAAGTCAGACCACAGGGGATCAGCTTTCTGGAGCTAAAAACACCTGGAAAAAGAACTATTCTCAGTCTCCACACATAGTACACACTACTTGGAGAGCTGCATAGTGGCCAAAGAGCTCTACTGTTGTGTATCAGCACCCTCAAAAAATAAAAGCTCATCTCTAGGTTAAAAAATCAAAACTGTAATAATTAGAATTCATCCAAAGCTTCTCAGGGAAAAGTGCAGGAAAAGGACTTGAGTTGCTGACTCCCCTTGAGTTTCTCCTACACAACCAAACTTACAGGTAGATGCAGTTTGACATGAGAATCTTAAACATGCAATTTTAAAACTACAATCTTTTCACTAGAAAACGTTTATCATTTAGGTTTTGACAAGGAGAACCAAAAAAAAAAAAATCTGCATTTTCTACCCATCCATTCCTACAATTCAAAATGTAATAGTTTCAACTTTGTATTTTCTGACCGAAAATGCTGCTGCCAATAGTTTTAGTGACAAATGACTGAAATGGGGAAGGAATGATGCCTAAACTCTTAGCTAAATCCAATTATTTTCCTGGAAGTGAAAATTTTTATCAAAAGATCAAGTCATTATCAAGTTTCCTGGTTCAATCTGTGTGGTTGGTTATGGAATCTGCTTTGGCTTAAAAAAAAAAAAAATTTGAAAAACCACCCAAACCTCTGATTCAAATTAGTTAATAATTATACAGAAATGCAGATTTCCTCAGGATGCCAAAAACATGGGGGAGATTTACAAAATAGCTTACAGTTTTAAGAGCAGGGTACCCACCTTTTTAATGATGCCCAGAGTATGTAACTAAAACACGGTCGTTAATCTCTAGTGAAACGATGTAATTGTTTTCCTATGGCTAGAGTGCAATCAACAATCCTGCCCTACTCTAAGCGGTTCAGACCACAGAAACACAGATACTTGTTTCAGCAGTCTTGAGAACTTCCCAGACGCGTTAGTTTCCCATCGCAAAACGCGAGAGTAGCAATTTCAGGATCCAAACCTGTGTTAACAAGTTTCCTCTGCCTCCCCTATCTTCAGTAGGTTTAGAAAATACCACAATCGCCCCAGAGATACGGCCTCAGTCGGATATAGGTTTGGCACACTTTGCCGCTGCTCAATACAGAAGGGATCATCTTCCTTTATTAGGGGGCAAATGCCACTCGCCTTCCAGAAAACCGATGGGGTGTTCTTTTCCTCGAGAGCAGGGCTGACCGTGACAGCGGAACCTGGGCACCTCCACCCCCACCCTGCTTAGGGGAGAGGTTTGACCCAACAATGCCCGGGCGCGGGTCTGTTACCTTGCAGCGCGGCGGCATCGGCAGCCTCCAGGTCTCGGTAGATGTGGCGCACCATGCCCGCCGTCTCCTCGTTGCTTTGCGTGTTGATGTCCCAGAGCACCAGCAGCGCCCGGCGTCGGGCGAACTCTAGCGCGAAGAGGCGGCCCAGGCCGCTGCCGGCGCCGGTGATAAGGCACACCTGGCCCGCCACGCTCTTCTCCTTGGGCCGCACCAGCCAGCGCGCCGCGGCCAGCACGAACGCCCAGAGCACTTTGAAAGTGACCACGAAGAACTCCACCACGATGTTCATCGCGACGCCCGGGGGGGGGGGGTCTCTCACGAGCCCAGAAACCGCGAATGCGCCCACCTCGCGCCTGGCAGCCGGGCTCCCGGCCCCGGGGCGCTTGTCAGAGAGGTTGGAACGAGGAGGCTGCGCCCGGCGCCTGCCCCCGAGGTGCCCGCGGGGCTGGAGTGCGCGACGCTGCTCCCTGCCTGCGCGGGGCCACTCCCGTTCGGGCTTGGAGCGGTGGCCCCGGCTTGTACCCGCCGCAGCAGCCGCCCGGCTCGGCGCCTCCTGCCGGCGGCCGCTCGGAGCGCCTGCCTTGGAGCGCTTGCCCGGCCGGTCCGGCGGCGGCAGCGGCAGTGACAGCCGCGACTTAAGCGGCGCGCGCTGCCCTCATGGTCAAGCCGCTGCTGACCGAGTGTCCCCGGAGCCGGCGCCGCGGCTCCCTCTCGAGCCGGGGGAGGGGCGCGCAGCGGAGATGGCACGGGCCGGGCGGCCGCCGCGGGACTTGTCAACTTGACTCAAGTTGCGAGAGGGTGAGAGAGTGGGGTGCGGGGCGGCAGGAGTGCCAGGAAAGGGCGAAGGGCTCGGCGCTGGCAAGAGCTGCCCAACGGCTTGCAGCTGCGCCCCGCGGTCTCGGATCCCCTGGCCCTGCAACTCGCCGCGACTGTCACTCGGGCACCAGGCTCCGCAACGCAGCGCCTCCTGCAACTACGAGCGCTCTCAAGCAGCTCTGAGCGGGGTCCACGCTCCGCGCTACATAACCCGCGACCGGGAAGAGCCGGCGGCGGCATCGGCCCTCCCTCCGCTCGGCGTACCCCGCCCCCAGCCCA